GTTGCGATATTGCATTGCGCTGTTTTTGTATAATTCTCGGGGACATTAACGAAAATCATTGCCAGTAAAATTCGAAAAGCTTGAGTTTCTATGTCTTTGAGGAGAATAGGAATCCGAAGTTGCTGCACCATTGCACTGAACCCTTTTTTAATAATTTCTAGAGACATAAATGACTGCACCATTCGACAGCGTCGAGTTTCTACTCCTCTGTTGAATATAGAAAATCAAAATAATGTAACTTGTAAGACACCATTGAGTTTGACTTTAAATATAGTCGTGCATAGGTATAGAGCCGAAAAATATAAAAACAAAGCACGATTCAATACATGATAAAACTTTAAGATTTGATATTCAAACGCGGAGTCATCCTATACACTTCTATAATTTTTCGTTTGCTGTGCACGTCGCTAGTATACGCATTACGTGACGATATAACAATCACCTGATTAATTGTTATTTTTTGGTATTTGCACTTTTCACTTGCAAAACTTGGTCTTTGAATTTGATTTTAATTATTTACTAAACTACCTAATTTTAAACGATTTTTTTTACTTTTATGAATAAAAATGATGCAAAAGCACGTTTATTCAATTTTTGCTTTTTTTTCAAAAATGATTTTATGAGCGGTTTTTCATGTTTTTCTTAAAATCACTTATCCTGCAAATACAGAGTTGTGCATCTTATGTACTCATATTATGTGAGGCCTGTCAGAGCAAAGTCAACAATCTCCCGTCAGACTAAAACTGAGTAAATTGAGATAATTGATTTTGGTATTTTAAATTCTAGATTTGTAATTTTTTTTATATATTATATTGAAATATTGTTGTTGTTAGTCTAGTAGCCAACTACAAGGTCTCCAGGATGCATAGTATATGTAGATGAAATCTATAATTATAAATTGGAGATTGCTGACTTTGATATTAATTGCTGGAGATTGCTCATTTTGTTGTAAACGTTGTAAAATAATTGTATTTTTCTCCCTTTAATGGTTATAAAATTTAACAATACAATCAATGTGAGAAAATTCTGAACTGGACCACATAAATCTGGAGTTTCTTCTAAATCTGGGACCAGGTTGCCTCGTGCAAAAAATTTTTTATAACTAGTACAACAACTCATCATCTCCTTCCCACTTTGCCCTGTAATGTTTTACTTGCAATGTTTTGACATTATCAGCCTTTTCTTGGTTTACTTTCTCGTCTTATTATGGTATAATAGCACAAAATAAACAAGATAACTTTTTTTATAATTCTTAAAACAATAAAATGTAGATTTACCTATTTTAAATATATTTACTGCAATAAAACTTAACAGTATGTACCAGTAAAAAACACAAAACTAAATCTCTAAAATACGTTATAACATCAAATGCTAGGATATCAGGTGACACAAATTACTAATTTCTAATGGTGGGATTGGAGATTGTATACTTTCTGCAAATCAGTGGAGATTGTCGAATTTGCACTAAATGTCATTTTTAAAATTTTAGGCAGGATTTAGCTCCTTTTGCAGCACATAAACTTTATCATCTTATAGATAATTAGTCGGTTTTGCTATGACAGGCCTCATGTATTATATATAATATTATGTTGCCATGAATTCGTAGGTATATTTTGTTGTTTAAAATGCAGTTGTCAGGGGTTTTTAGAGAACTCAAATATAAAAATGTTCGATTTTTGAGGTTATGTTTGTGCAACAATAATTTTTTACTAATTTCTTTAATATGTCCAAACTTAAATATAAATTATATTAGGTAAAGTTAGTTAATTCTGCACCAACAAATGTACTTACCGAATTGGATCCTTTGGCAAAACATGAAAATGCAACGATTTAGTTCTTGAATTTTATTTAAAATTAAAAACACAATAATTCACCATGATCCCTTAAATAAAATACACACACTAACGTAACTATATAAGCATTTAAGCGTTGAGTTTCTTAATCAATGATATAATGAATAATCAATCGAAATCGAGTACTAAACCAGTTTTTTAGTTTTTTCCTTGCAACGTAAAACACAAATAACGTGCGCGATTTAGCTGTGCAATTGAACAAAATTTGTCGAGTAAGACTTCTGCCTTCCTCTCTTTTGTGAAAAAACTACCTATTTATTTAAAAATTTTGTGCAATTCGTATGCTTTAAATGTATTGTTGACAATTGAGGGGCTCGGTGCAAGAACCGGGTATCTCGATATTCGAAAAATGTTGAGGAGACAAGAAAAACCTTGTTAAAAATTATTACAGTATAATTTCTGTGGTATCTCCTGTATCTGATATATTTAGTTAACGCTAACGTGGATCTACACGGTTTGTGCACCGAACGATGCGGGACTACTGTAGCGTGTATCTTCATATACCTCAACTCAAATTAGCAAAAATATGGAGATACCCGGTTCTTGCACCGAGCCATATGGCGCGCGCGTTAATACGGTACAGATCTCGTTTGCAACTACTGCACAATAACACAGGCAGTCGGTCATCTGAGTCTTTATATTCAAAATGTTTCTTAACAATTAATTTTAGTCCTTCCTTTATGGAAAACATTGTTTTAGTTTTTCCAAAACAAAACAAGCCAACTTATAAGCGATTTTCTTCGGCATTTTAAATTTATAAATTTAATGTATGACAGCAATTTATTTATGTATCCAAGGTAGTGCGGCTATTATTTATTCGAATAATAAATACCGATTTAATTAAAAGGCGTTAATTAATAGTATATTTTGTAACAAGTATGGAATACAGCATATTCTGCTCGAGTGAAAAGTTTGTCACACGAGCCGAAGGCGAGTTTGACGGTTTCACAAGAGGGGAATATGCGATTCCAAACGTGTTTCAGACTATACTTTTTCTACGTTTTCAAAAAATACCATAGGCAAATAATTTAATTGGAAGAAAGTGAGGCTGGATCGGTCTAAAATTTGTTAGATATTAAAAACAGAGATGTCGCCACGAGTGTTTATTCTGTCATCAGATGATAGAATATTTCATTCTGTAACACTTTACGAAATATATGTAATTCCATAGATAAAAGTGATATTAGAACGCTCAAATTCCGTAATATGAGTAGAAAATAGTATATTCTGTAACAAGTTTGGAATACAGCATATTCTGCTCGAGTGAAAAGTTTGCCACACGAGCCGAAGGCGAGTTTGACGATTTCACGAGAACGGAATATGCAATTCCAAACGTGTTTCAGACTATACTTTTTCTACGTTTCCAAAAATAATTTAATTGGAAGAAAGTGAGGTTGGATCGGTCTAAAATTTCTGTTTTTAATATCTAACAAATTTTAGACCGATCCAACCTCACTTTCTGTATTCCAACCTTGTTACAGAATATACTATTATACGATATACCCTATCAGAAATACAAAAATCAAGTTTTCTCTCGAAACCCCCTAACGAATATTTTCATTCGGGTCTTAAAATACTCGTAAGTCAACGTAGAAGTCATGGAGCCTACAGAGCCCGAACTTCATGTAAACAAGAATCTTCCTAAGATAAGAGGGCGCTGGTGTACTACCGGTCCAAAACAGTAGAGGGGTGTAACCAGAGATGGCGCCACTACCTACCACTTATTATTGTGCAAATAATTGAGGTTATGCAACTGTCAGTTTTTCACTTTCTGAAAACAATGTACCCATGTACCTGGTTTTGTGTATAAAGGTCTTAATTTACAATAAATTAATATCAAATTTAACATTGGAATTCATGTTGGACTTTCTGATGTAGATCATAGTACAGTTTTTTTATAAATACGTGTTTTTTTCTATAATAGAATGTCGTGTGATGTTAAATCGTGTAAAACGAACAGAATATTAAATCCATATGGTATTTATTTTTAGTTTTATAGGTAGATGGCTTAAATAAAAGTTCAATATAAACAAATAAAGGTAGAAATTATTAAATATGCTGTTTACTCATTTTCTACATACTTTTTTATTTAAGTTTAACAAAAGTTTTGCAAATACTATACCTACAATATTTAAAATATATCAAACCCATGACCTCTCGGCTTGCAGCACTGACAGTGCTGACACCATTGGAGGTTGTTAACATCCAAACATTTTTAGGTCCAGAAATGGATGGAATAATTACCCTGGCGAAAATAAAGCGTGCATGAAAAGTGTGCAATAAGTGTTTATTTGGAGTGCAAGTCTTTATAACAATGTGCATACACGCTACTTTGTGGTAATTTCACACTTTTTGAAATAATTAAGTTTTTTACTCTTACTTTTTATTTGTCATATGTCACGCTTATATTACATTATATTTTAGCACATTGTTTGCACAGTTTTAGTACATTGTTTAAAGACATTTTGCAAAGCTTCAGTCTATCTTACGTATGTCACATTTTATACACACTGTTGGCACACTTTAATATTTCTCATTTATGACGCTTATATTACACCTTTTTATAGCACATTTTTTGTACAGTTTTAGCGATCACTCAACAGTTTAAGCACATTTTAGATATATCTCGCTTGAGTTGGGGTACAACATTTATTTAAAAGGTGAGGTAGATTCCATCTTATGTATCGCTTCTCGGCCTATTGGTAAGGTACAGCCATAAAAACAAAACGATTCGTACGTCAAAACATTATTGCAAATCAATTGTCAAAACTTACTTGCTTACTTCACATGTATTTTCGATACTATTTTCACGTCATTCGGACGCATCAACAAGCAGCGCCGCTGGTGGTGCAATTTAGTGGACAGGTTTTGTCAATTTTCCCTATTAAGTTCGGGCTCCTTGTGTAGGCTCTATGGTAGAAGTTATTAAAAAAAAACAATCGGTGCAAGCACTTTTGATTAAAGCCTACCGTGGGTAGTTTTATAAATATAAATAAGTATTTGATTAAAAAATGTCTCCAAAACTTAAATTGTTAGTTTTGATTTTACGCATAAACCAGTGATGATTCTTTTTCGTTTTACTTAGCTATAATTTTTCATTATTATGGATTTTTAAAAACAATAATGATGATATATTAAATTTTTTAGGATATACAGAAGGTTAAAAAGTTGGTTAATATAAACAAGGCGATTTCTGGACTTGTTCAAACAAAAATTGTTGGGTCATGGTTAATAAACAGATGCGTTAATTGCGATGTGGAAACTCATGCTGTTCATAGAGAGGAAGGAGCGGCTTGTGTTTTAATAAATTCACACCTTTTGGTAAACAAAAATCTTATACATATATTATTATTATTGTTATTATACATTATTATATTATAAAGAATCATTTACCTATATAAAATAGTTTAAGAATCTTGTAAAATGGGTAAGTATATAAAGGGTTTTTCAATAGTGACAAAACATTTTGTTTATAAATAATACCCAGAATAATTGAGATATCGGTGACAAATTTATTCCAGGTGTAGTACACATACTACAGTTATGTATGGAACTCGACGTCGTTCATATGACCACCTCGAGCACGACGGCAGCGATCCATTCTTTGGGTCCAATTTTCAATCACTCTTTCACACATATCAGCCGGAATGTTGGCAATTTCCCGTTCGATAGTGTTCCTGAGCTCCTCTAACGTAGTTGGATTGTTGGCATAAACCTTCGACTTAAGGTAACCCCATAAGAAAAAATCCAACGGCGTCAAAAAGCATGAGCGGGGTGGCCATTCGACTAGACCATTTCTCGAGATTCAACGATTACCAAATTTTTCTGTGAATAAAGCAAATGTTTGACCAGCTGTGTGGCTTGTGGCACCATCTTGTTGAAACCACATATCGTTGATCAATTTCATTCAATTCAGGCCAAGAATTAACTTTCAACATGGCACGATAGCGAACTCCATTGAACGTAACATGGCGATTATTATAAAAAATACGGCCATATTACACCTCCGGCTTGAAATCCACACCAGACGGTCAATTTTTGTGGATGAAGCACATGTGGGTTTGTTGCTGTCTAATAACGCATATTCTGCTTATTGACAAAGCCATACGGCCAAAAATGAGCTTCATCGAAAAAGATAATTTTTCTATGAAATTCAGGATTTTCTTTAAACTGCAGAACAAAATCGGAAAAGTTCCGGCACTTTAAATGATTCAGAGATTTCAGTTCTTGGGTTAATTTGATCTTGTAAGGGTGTAGCTTAAGATCTTTACACAAAATTCGCCATAATGTGGACTAAGAAATACCCAATTCTTGTGAAAGGCGTGAAATCGACTTGTTTGGTTCATTTTGAACTTAAGCTCTTACGGCTGCAATATTTTCAGTACTTCGACCGGTGGTCTCACTGGCACAGGAACATTTAATAGTGAATATGTTGATTTAAATTTATTCACCAGCTTGTCTGGTGGGACGAATATTGCAACCAGAAATTAGAGTAAGCGCTCTTAAAGTTGCAACTATCGACTAAGAATTTGGTAATAAGTTTTAACGATTTCCAAACGTTGCTTGTTCGTGAACTTCACCATGATAAAAATGTAAACTTTGACTGACGTTTTAACATTGACAGATAATTAAAAGTTTGTAGGCTATGGTCCGTATTATAAAACAAAATTGTTATGTCCCTATTGAAAAACCCTTTACAAGTACAAAGTGTTATGCTTCTCTTACCATCTACTTTCATTAAGGTCGTTTAAGAAAATATGTGCAATGTCTAAAGCTGATCGGACGATATTAACACGTGCCACCGAGAGGTTGATATTTTTCCTTTTTATTAACACTAGGGATAATTTGAATTTTTTTTTTTTGGGCGAAAAAACATGTATAATAATCAAGAAACTTTATTAAACTTATCTCGAATTATAACTTGAGCTTTAAAAAAATTCCATCGCGTTGTATACATTTTGTATTTATTTTATTTTAATTGCGTTAATTTGTATTTATAGATGGCATTCCTTTCTTGCTCCCGCACGCGCGTATGGCAAGCCGTTTTAGTTTTTATTACACATGGCTATCAAGTCTCATTTTAATTCGACTTGATTTCTATGAGACATTAGATAATTGAAATTATATGTATTTTCCTTAAGGGAAATTACATTTTTATTATAATTTCAAAATTGAAGGCATATTTTCTTTACAAATAGTAAAAATAATGCATTTGTTGTATTTATTTCCATTGGATTTTTAAATATTGTCCTTAACGTGAAAGCAATTTTCGTTAACAGAAATTTTATTAAATTTACTAATTATAATTTTAATGCAAATTATTTTTACTGTTTTAGTTTTTTGGAGCAATTTTATGACACATTAAAAGGAGTTTATTTTAATTCAATTTTATTAAAGTAGCTTCTGACTTGGATAAAATGTTACATTTTATTTATGTTAGACCAGGCTAAGTATTAAAATTAAACGAATTAAAATTACTATTACGAATATAAATGCATTTGTCCTTAAAGATATAGTTTTATACTTTCCTAAATGACATAAAAATTAAAAACATTTTAATTTAAAATACTGATTGAAATGTTGTTCCCGAATAAAATTTAGAACCGCAATATATAGAGTCTAACAATATTTAGAGAATCAGAAAATAACATCGAATTAAAATGAGACTTAATGATTATGTGTACAAAACTGCCGTGCTTAATGAAAACGCCGTAACCAACAATTTTGCGATTTTTGTTTTACGGCATTTTCTACTAGAACAATTCATCCTGCGACTTTCCCCGGTACTTAAAAAACCGTATCTATATATATACGGTTTTTTGAGTACCGGGGATAGACGCAGGATGAATTGTTCTAGTGGAAAATGCCGTAAAACAAAAATCGCAAAATTGTTGGTTACGGCGTTTTCATTAAGCACGGCAGAAAAAATAGCTCGAATTACTTTTATTTTTAAATAAACAAAAATAAACTTCTATTTCCGTTAAGGGAAATTACAATTCCCTTAACGAAAATGTTATTTCCCTTAACGGAAATGCTATTTCCCTTAACAGAAATTACATTTCCCTTAAGAGAAATTAGTGGCGCTATCTGTGGTGAAGATGCCGAAGGTTCCACCGCTTACAGAGTTCTGCCAACTTTGGTTGGGATGCCAGAATCTTTCATTTTGTTTGAATGCAACAAATATGACACAATTAACAATAATGAATAATATTACTACTACAGTTTGCTATTTACTACTTCTTTTCGTTTTAATAACCTTTATTAGAAACGTTAAAACACACCTTACACATGCGGCGTTGCCACACAACATTCGATTCGAATGATGCGATTCCAAAGTCGATCGGTGTCATCGCGATTCGGTTCGGAGAGTTTGGTTTTCTCGAGTAGTACCCATAATTATTAATATTACTATTATTATAGCATTATCAATACAAATTTTGTGACAATTTTCTGAAAATTCGATAATTTTGTCAATAATTTGTCGATGATTTGTCGATAATTTCACTTTTTACATCTGGCAACACTGGTGGGTGATATTTAGTGGGTGGATTTGAACAGATGTAACGGTTGGTTTTTAAATTAAAAAGGTAACAATCAAAAAAATTCTTTTTACTAATAAATCTTTTGTAAAATCACAGTGCAATAATTTCATTTTATAGAATTTTGATAAAATTAACTATTTGAACTTCAGCCGTCCTCTCATAGATGGCGCCAATTTCCCTTAACGGAAATGCTATTTCCCTTAAGGGAAATACAATTTCTCTTAACAGAAATGATATTTCCCTTAAGGGAAATTGCATTTCCGTTAACGAAAATGCATTTAAATTCTTAATTATAATAAAAACTACTTTCCTTAACGAAATTTGCATTAAAATTACTATTTGTCATAAAAATAATTTTTATTATTATTTCAAATAAAAATTAAATGTTTTAGTATTTTTATTACAATTTCGAATGTAAATCATCCTCTACATCTAATCTTTTCAATTTAATGTACCCAAAATTTCAATGCTTATTAAAAAAGGAATTTTATTTATAATTTGTAATTAAAATGTAATTTCCCTTAAGGAAAATACATATAATTTCAATTATCTAATGTCTCATGGAAATCAAGTCGAATTAAAATCGGACTTGATAGCCATGTGTAATAAAAACTAAAACGGCTTGCCATACGCGCGCGGGCTGGGCTTGGGCAAAAGTCCAAAAAGTGATCAAAAAAATAATACACCAATGTAAATGAAAACCTCTTAATTTGTTCATTTAATTTTATTTATCAAAAATACAGCTGCTTAAAGTAAAGCAATACAGAAAAAATTCAGATTTTAGATTTCATCGGAATTTTCTCTGCCTTTTAGGCGCTTTTACTTTTTTTACATAACTAAAATATAAAAAAATGTGGTTAAAATTAAAGATATACGGTATGTTTTGTTTATTTATTTTATTAATTGTACTTATAAAGTTATATTAAATAATATTATAACTTGTAAAATCATAAATTTTTACACTTAACTAGGGATAAGTTATGCGGTCCAAGTTGGTCCAGAAATTTTTTTACACCAAATTGTAGCCCAAATAACGAATAAGGCTATATATGGTTATTGATACATCTTTTGAAAGTTATAGTGGTTTATAAAAGGCCGCGCGCTAAGAATTTTGTATTTTAAATTGTTAAACAGCTATAGATTGCGCTCTTTTAATCTTAACTTTTATAAATAGGGCAAAACACCTCAAGGGTTCCCACCTAAAAATGATGTTGTATCCGATTTTAACAATACTTTGCCAAATAATTGTCCTATTGGACTACCTTAATTTTCCAAATGGGGGCAAAAAGGATTAGCGGGTTGCAGAGATACAGGGGCCTGAAAATTAATTTTTTTTCTCGTGCGCTTAAAAGACGTCGAAATATTCATGTATATAATATATCGTATAGCATTTTTTCCACGCTTTACGATAAAAATGGTCTCGAAAGCGAGAAAAAATTTTTTGGTTATAAAAAAAACGATTTTCAAAATATATTTGTTTTTTTCTCGAAATGCGACACATTGGATTTTTTCAATTCCCTAAATTTTGATGTAGGTAATATGAAGATGGGATCCCAAGAATAAGTCGAAAAAAATAAGGGTTGAAGCGCGTAGGGACCGTGCGGCGAGTAGCTATAGTATACCTATTGCAGCGGTGCTCGGTCTACTACTTAGTGGATTAATTGGAGAGGGTCAATACAACTTTTAAAATTATTTTTATATAGAAATAAATGTATTTTTCGATGGGTTTAAGTCAAAACAGCACAAGCGCCAATTTTTTTTTTTTTAGAAGAAGGTCGA